TTCCGATGGTCATCTTAAAGGTGTAGTGAACACCATTCTCCAGTCAAAGCATGCATATGTTAAATTAAATAAATCCATGGTTGAGCAAACCAAATAGATATTTGGGGTGAGACATATATGGAGAATGGTGATGAAGTTTATTGATAAGTATGGAAGTATTCATTACATAGATTACTTAGGGGGATGTTGATACTTGAATGTGACCCTGCAACTCTGAAAGAGACTAAAGGTAGAAGACAAGAAAACTTGGTGATGCCGAACTAAGCCTCTAAATGTATGGTTTTGAACCAAGTAAGGTTAAACAATACCTTTTAGCATGTCTTTACTTTTTGCAAACAAAAAATGTTGTATCTATAAATAGGAATATGGATATCAAATGTAATCTATTGGGCATTTAGTTTTCTTATAATAAAGTGTATGTCTTCATGTTCACAAGTTATATATATCATCATTCTTCTACATACTTTTGTTCTTAGATTTTTTTTATTCACATATTTTGTATTTTATAAATCTGCAATTTAGTTTATTATTCAAGCTATAATATCCTAACTCAACATTTAGTGTCAACATTGAAGCATCGAAGGGACTAAGGATATAACTGCTACCATAGGTCAGAAGGAACAAATAAACATTGACTACATGCACTATACCCATTTATCATGCCACACTTGAATGTTCCTTGTATGGCTTCTAGTTACGTAAAATGATGGAGAATGCCAATGTACAACACACTGCGAGTCAAGAATCTTATGCTTAGGACATAAGATATTACCTTATAAAAATACTTATGACGTGATTCATGAAGTAATCTATAAGTACGGTGTAACACCCCATTTGTGAATTGGTAGAAGTAAACAGGGTATAGTAGTTTTCCTTTAAAAAGAGTTGTTTGAATGATAATAATCATTGTATACGTTGGTAAAATAATAAAATGAAAAGTCATATTGTTTTGATAAAATTTGCTCATTTAGTACTGATAAGTTTTTAGCCGATAGCCAATGTTTGAGACTGTGAAAGCATAAAAATAGAGTCAGAATAATTAAATTTTGAAATGTTTAACCATGATAATTTAGAACGTGTGAGTGAGAGTATCGGATAAAACGGAGTCTATATGATAAATATATAGTCATTGAAAGTTTGGAGTTAAATTAGACTTAAGATGATGGAAGTACACTGCCTAAATGTGCATTTTTAAGAGAAACTCAACCTTGGAATGCAAAACACGACCATGTAATGTGAACAGAGTGCATATACTTGATTTTATTGATTTTAATGAAGTACATTGCTATTTTGGGTATATAGATCAAAAATACAACTGTTTTTGGGTTACACGGGTTGCGTAATGTTGTCGATGCTTATAAAAGCTTGATTAAAGGGTAAGTCAGCCATTTCCCCCAAAGAACACTCTAAACACCTTTGAACTGCTCTAGAGCAAGGGAAGAACGACTTCTTGTGGGTCTTGAATCAAATGTAAACTCTCTCATCTCTTTGAATTAGACGAGATTTTTTATTTTTATGGTTGAATTAGACCAAATGGAGAACACAATAACTAATCTTCATTACTTGAATCAAATGTAAACCCTCTCATCTCTTTGAGAAATTTTAGTTTAAATGGTTGAATTAGACGAGAGTTTATGAACCCTAACCTCCATGTGTTCTTATATGATGAACATCTAAATAGAAAAGAACAAGTAGAGGATTAATTACATATCTACTATCTTAAAATCCTCAAACTAGTATGGAATTCTTATTTTAAAGATTTGGGGATTGGTAAATCAAACCCTAAGTGGAGTAAATTATTTGGATCTTAAAAGTAAGCTAGTTTGTTTATCAACTTATGTAAATTAAAGTTGTGGTGAGAAAAAATAAAAGAGATGAATTAATAAGTTCAAGCTCAAGTTATTTAACTTAAATGAGATAAACTAATAAGTTCAAGCTTAAGTATGTAAACTTGGAATTTTTAATAAAGCTGGTTAGAAATATAACGAAGCTAAGTTGTGTTAAGAAGCTAGTTATGTTGATGAGTTTTGATACTCAAATATGTTGTGTTGTTTAACAACATTGGATGTTGAGGGTGATAAGGAGCTCCAAGAATTGGAAACTCGTCCTCAAGTTAGAACCTAAGGTGAGGAACCATGCATCCCTCCTTGATAATTGGTATCTAAATATGTTATTATATTGAGTGCGAAAATATCATTTTTGATTGACATTGTATGACATAGTAAGCTTCTGTAGTTGAAAACTATAGTTGATTGTTGCCAAATAACATGATACCTTTTATAATTGGTTGTTATTGAATAATATGGGAAGATTTTGTGATTAAGACCCATTGTTGAATGTTATTAAACGAACACGGTAAGCATTGGTAGTTGAGCACCATGATCATTTGTCTTTGTTAAGACCCGGTAAGCCTTAGTGGCTGAGAATTGTGGTCAGCTATCTTTATTAAGGCCTGGTAAGCCTAGATGGCTCATGGCCATGTGGATTGTATGATCGAAAGTGTGGACGAGATTTGTATTACCTTGAAAGTCTTATGTAATATTATGCATGTTTATATTGATTTCATGTTTATGATTATTGTTGTATAATAATTGTTGAGAATCATAGGTAGCAATTGTGAAACAATAGTTGCTGAAAATTATAACTAATAGGTGTTAAGTAGTGATTGTTGAAAATCATTGCCGAGTATTGTTGAATATAATGGTAAAATCATGGTTGGTAATTTTTGAAATTTATAAATGATAATTCCATAAGACAATATAGGTCGTATCGGTTAGAAGATTGACGTGATTGGAATTTTTGAGAGGCTTTACATATTTGTATACATGTTGATGTTCATTAAGTCTTTATGATTATATGTGGCAGACATTTTTTGTGTGTGTTGAACTCTAGTAGCTTATCCATTATCTATTGGTGTGCCTTACGTAATCAAGTAAACCTAATAAAGATATAAAGCTAGTAACTAAGAGATAAAAGAATCGTTAGATGGATGGTAACATCCGACTCGGATCTTCGTATAAATGTGTTATATGATCCATTTGATAACTACTATACTTCTAGTTAATATAAATGTACAGTTGTACACCCAAGTTGTTTTGTAAATTTAATATGAAAAATGTCGGATGTATTGTCTTAATTTATCGAGTGTTACATGTTGGTTGCTCCAAACTTTATCTATATCAAGTATATGTCTATTTAATATCCATTTCCATGGATAATCAACTAATACCCCACACCAGTCCTAATTCACTACTCCTATGATAACAAGATATTATCAACTCTATTGATAATACCTCTTCCTCTTGATGCCTCGTTCAGTAGTTGTGTTTGAAGGTTTGGATTTGATCATGTCAAACTTCACCGTATTTAGCATGCCATCTAATCTCAACATAGAACTATAATGTAAATTTCAATACTACTTTGTGTTTAGTTGAGAAAACCAAAAAAATTGGAATTCTTTAGATTCCATTAATTTTTTTGTCAGAAGAAATCGGTCATTCATGGGTTAAAGACAAGCTTTATATTTCATTTCTTATACATTAAATCAAAACATATATCATCATTTCTCCTACACCCCACCCTTATACAGGGGCGGATCCAATGTAGAGTCTGGGGTAGCTAAGGATGCCCCTCAAAAAAAAATTCAGAGTGTAATTTTTTTGAACAATTTCATTTTATGTTGTGGTGATACCCCGGGAAAAAAATTGGGCTACCCTTAAAAAATAGAATATCCCTTTACTTTAACTCTAGCTCTGTTACTACCCCGCATCCAACCCCACCATCACATACATAGACAAGTATAAGCACATGTATACCCAACACCAATGCCAACAAGCCCACATTCAATTTCCTTTGACAAATGCTATTCTTTCCAAGAAAAAAAAAACATTTTACCAACCAAACACACATTTAGAATGTTGATGTTTACATTGTCTAACATTTGAGCATAGATTCACCTCATCTTTTAGGGGTGTGCAAAAAACTAAAACCAACCCAAAAAACAAAAAACCGAACCATTTGAAAAACCGATGGATTGGTTTTTTGTTTTTAAAAAAACTGATTTTTAGGTTCGGTTTAGTTTTTCTATATCTAGAAACCAAAAAAAAAAACCAAACCGAACCAAAGTACACAAAATGACATCGTTCTATATATAAGTATCACACATTTATAAATTAATCCATAGAATAATAGTAAAAATTAATATTCTATGTTGTAGGTGAAGTATATATATGATAGAAGGGGTTAGAGGGTTAACATTCTAAAAAGATTCGAATCACATACATCTCATATCTCATATCGATTGTGAGAATCAAAAAGTGAAGACTTTTTTGATACTATAAAATGATGGTAATAATTAATTCAACCATCCCATGGTGATTATTTGTAAATGGGAAGATAATAGTCATCATCTTTTTTTTTTTACAGTGATTTCTATTTTATCTAAATGGATGAGATATATTGCATATTTGTATTGGAGTATATATTAAATAAGTATGAGCTTTTAAAATCAATGAGCCAAATCCAATAATATATTAATGGAAAAACCTTAAAATGAGTATTAATTGAAAAACCAAAAAAACCGATGGTTTGGTTTTTCCAAAATAAATAAAAAAAAAAAAAAAAAAAAAACCTAACATTTTTGTTGGGTTTTGGTTTCAAACCATCTTTCATAAGCCTTATTTCATCTAAATGAAACCTAATAAGTGGCATATATCTAGGCCCCACGTCATGCGACGAGTATAGATGGACGTTCATATTTAAGATGACCCTTGTTTTACTAACCCATTCACCTGATGTGAAATTTTGTTTTCATAAACAAACACAGTAAAAAAAAAAAAAACACCATTACAACAGTGAGTTTTCCAACCATTCTCCTAACATACCCACCTAAACTAAAATCCTTAAACACCTTATTGTAGATAAAACCAGGCCGGATTCCCCTTATTATATATAACCAAAATTCAAAACAACCATAATTAACTTAACATGAAGGGGCACCAAGATTTGATGCGAGGCGTAACAGGTCACTAAAAACTCCACCTGCTGTAACTTCAGCTCCAGCACCCGGGCCCCGCACAATCAAAGGCTGTTTGTTGTACCTTTCTGTTGTAAAAGCAATGATGTTGTCAGAACCCGAAAGCTGTGCAAACGGATGTTTTTTCTTGTATCTTCTTAACTCCACAACTCCTTTTTGGTTCGTTACATCCACAACCCCAACGTATCTCAACACCTGACAATAACCAGTATCAGTATCAGTATCAGTATAACAAGGTGAATACAGTTATACAAGATAAAAGGAAAAGTTACTGACTTCTCCTGCTTCCTCTGCAGCTTGTTGCTTTTCAGCTATGTCTGTGTCGAAAGATGGTAGCTGCTGCAAAAACTCATCCACTGATGCACTTCCCTGACACTCAACAAAAAGTTACAAATGTAAATGAGGGTAAAGTGGTCATTTCACAAAGGGTTTATTGTGCTTTTCTTTAAAGGTTTGGAAGTATACTTTTAGGGATGAAAAAAAGGTTGGATGTTCGTTTTAGGGACTGTTTTTGTAAAACTTGAAACAAAGATGGAAGCGAAAAGTGTGATTTACAGTATTAATGGTTTTTTTATTAAAAAAAAAAAAAAAAAAAAAAAAAAAGTAATTGTATTCTCACCTTTAATGGATCTGGCACAAGGCTCTGAACAGGGATATCTGAAAGTTCAAGATTTAAACCACATTCTCTAGCAAGAATTATCACCTGCAATATATTATAATTTATATATTTGTACAGAAAAAAAATAAATAAATAAATAAATAAAAACCTTTCTGGCGACATCTGTCCCAGCAAGATCATCCCTGGGGTCAGGCTCAGTGTAACCTGCTGCTTTTGCCTCCATCACTACTTCACTAAAGGCTCTTGCATCAACAAAATTGTTGAATATATAACTCAATGTCCCACTGCAATCACATAAATAAATTATGATTTTAAAATATAACGGAGGGTATAATGGTCTTTTTAACATATATAAATAAGAAAGAGAATTGACCTGAAAATTCCTTCAATGCGTACAATCTTATCCCCTGTTTGAAGTAAATCTCGTAAAGTATGCATGATTGGAAGACCAGCTCCAACAGTGGCTTCATAAAAGTAATGAGTAAATGATTGCCTTTGAAGAGCTCTCAGCTTCAAATACTGCATTGAACAACAAGAATGACGAAACAATGGAATGGAATGAGTGATTACATTCCATAGTCAATAGTGTTTGTTACCTTATCAAGTGGTCCGGAATTGGCCTTCTTATTTGGGGTAATGACATGAATTCCTTCTCGCAACCAGTCATGGTAGTGATCTGCTACATCAGTACTTGCTGTACAATCTACAATTACTGTGTTGGGAATAAAGTGATTCCCATGAACATGTTGAACAAATTTTTCTAAATCAGTTTTTTCTCCTTTCTCCTTGTGAACTTCTTTCCATGTAGAAAGATCAATACCCCTACATCACCAAAATCAAAAAATTAAAAATTAATATCTATATAATGATTAATGAAATTTTTAACAAATGAAAACCTACGTGTCACTCAGCAGCATTTTCTTCGATCCAAGGATTCCCATGACACGTAAATCTGTGTTGGATTTTTCCTTCAGCACTGCTGCCTGAAAAAAGATGTAAGTTATAAATGTTCACATTCAGAAGCAATTAATAAGAAATGATATAAAATCTAAAATATACCTGTTCTCTAAGCTGATTAAGTAAAGTGGCACCAATAAGCCCAGGCCCAATAATACCCACAGCTATTGATGTTTTTGAAAGATAGAATCTTGAATGAACTGCTCTTAAGGCTCTTACACAATCTTCCTTTTTCACAACTACAGTGATGTTGTATTCAGAGCACCCTTGTGCTATAGCCCTCACATTAATATTAGCCTGAATTTCAACAAATTATTATAATTAAATATCATGTTATATTATATGTATATGTTTTGAATTAAAAAAGGCGTTACCTTTGCAAGTGCATTGAATAGAGTTGCACTGACACCTGGAGTACTTGCCATTTTCTGGCCAACTGCTGCAAGAATGCTACAGTTTGGAATCACTGCCACCTGTCCCAAAAATGTAATTTAACATTTGTTACGTAAAAAGTTGGTGAAAATTGGAGTTGAATATTTTTTTTTTATAAAAAGGTCAACTAAAAAAAGTCAACACCTGAGAAAGACGTCCAGCACTTAAAGCTTGACGAAATCTGGCCTCTAATGCCTTTGCAACTGCTTTCACTTCCTTCTCAGGAACAGCAAAGCAGACAGAATGTTCACTGCTAGCCTGATATAAAACAATAAATTTAAAAATAAATAATTTGATGGGTTTGGAATTTTGGATTCCATTCCATGGTTTTTTGGTTGCTATATGGATGGAATTCAATTCCTTCAGATTCCATGTTTGATGAATTTCACCATTCCTAGGGATGGGAGGAAGGGATTCTATTCATTCGTCTTTTTCATTAAAAAAGACCAAAATACCCTTTTTATGTGTACTTAAATAAAAAGATAGAGTGAGATAAAGACCTGAGAAATCATGATGACATTAGCTCCAACATCTTTTACAGCAGCAAAAATGGCACTTGCTGTACCCGGAACACCAGCCATTCCAGTTCTGATTCAAAAATTTTAATTATTAATTTGGAAAAGAAAATGATAAAGTGGACACAAAATGAAAGAAAAAACTCACCCCTCAACATTGACAAGGGCCAAATTGTCTATTGTTGCAAACCCTTTTACATATGTTACCAAATTCTTTTTGTCTTCAATTTCATTAACAGGTGATCTTGAAATCTTTGTTCCAGGTGCAGATAGGTTGAAGATGTTTCTTATAACAATGGGAATGTCATATCGCATCACTGGAATGATAGTTCTTGGATGTAAAACATTTGCCCCAAAATATGACTGCATCACCCAAGTTATAAACAAAATTAAAGGGCAGTTTTGTCCTTTTTTCACATTAAGTCGTGTATGGATAAAGTGACTAAATGAGTAATGATGTAAGCGTTTTTATAGTGGGAAAAGTCAATAAGTCAATAAGTCAATAAGTTGTTTTTTTAAAAAGTGTTTTTCTTAGCTTATATATGTTTTAAGGGGTATTTGTCTTTTACAACCCAAAAAATTAAAAGGAGTTTTGATAAGTTAGAAATCTTAATGAGAAGTTATTTTAAAAGTCCTTTTCATTTTGCCAAACACTTTTTTTAACTTATTGACTTTTCAAAAAGTCAATAAGTTGTTTTTAAATGAAATCCCAAACACCGCTAAAATATCAAACGACCATTTTACTTTTACATCAATTTTCACAATATTCATCAACTTTAACGTGATGAATTTGGAAGCACATAATTGGTGTCTTGATACATTAAGCCAGATTAAGTGCTTAACTCATTTCATTAAGCTCATTAAGTTAAAAAGAAACAGCATCTAAGAAGACCCAAAAAGGGTATGATTATAAAACAGAAAGAGAAGAATAAGATTACCATTTCCCATGCCTCTTGATAAGACAAGTTATTCAAAATCACAGCCTCACTAACTGCAAAAGATTTTGTATGTTGTTGAGAAACATTTCGATTTGATTAATCTGAATAAAAAAAAGTAAAAATATTCTGACCTTTTCTAGGATCTGCACTATAGACACCATCAACATCTGTCCAAATGGTGACTTGGCGTGCCCTAAATAAAGCACCCATGATAGCAGCAGAGAAATCACTTCCATCTCTTTTTAAAGTTGTGGGAATATTTTGAGGGGTGCTAGCTATAAAACCAGTAGCAACAACTGCCTTTGAAGGATTTTGTGAAAGCCACTTCTCAAGTCTTTTTTCTGATTCAGTGTAATCAGGGTCAACTTGATTGGATCCAGCAGGTGTCACAATCAGAACATCCCGTGTGTCCATCCAGTTACAATCTACCCCACCCTGATACAGAAACAAATATATATATTTTTTTAAGAGAGAGAGAGAGAGAGAGATGGAAATGGAATTCAAGATTCCATTCCATGGCAACGGATCCTTCAAATTCCATGTTTGATGGATTTCAGCATTCCGAGGGGTGGGCGGAAGGAATTCAATTATTTTTCGGTTTTTTATTAGAAGACCAAAATGCCCTTGGGCGATAATCACAAAAATGACCAAAACGGTAGGGTTCCTTTACCAACTTTTTGACCCTTATAGCAAAATGACAACTCATTCTGCAATATACATTTTGTGAATTGAAGACTACAAAAGAAAATTTAAAGAATCATATTTTGTGAAATGTATTATATGTAATAACAAAATGGTGATACCATTTCACATAATAAAAATCGAAAACAACTTTTTCTAAAAAAAAAAAAAGAAAAAGAGGATCTTGTAGCTTTTGGAAGTAAAAGTAGTTTGGCAAAATTTCAAAAATTCCACAAATGACTCTTTGAAATAAGAGGTCATTTTTTTATATTGGCCAAAAAGGTGGTAAATTTGTTAAATGGGGCAACCAATTTTGGTCATTTTTGTAATTATCCCTAGATATAATGAAAACTTTAGCTATAAGTAAAAATTTAGAAATTATTCAGTTCTTATTATTACATTCATTCCATTTCTTGCCTTCCAAATGTGTGATAGGTTACAATTCCTTCATATTCCAATTCTTTTGACAGATTCTGTTCCTTCTAAAAACATTCTGCCAACACCCCCCTTATATTTCAAGTATATTCAACAGGAAAAAAAAAAAAAGGCACCTTTCTGAGGACAGATGACAATATCTGAGCAGACCATAACTCTCCATGACCAACAACAAAATCGGAAAAAGATTCTGTCACATGTCCAGCTGAACAACATAAAGAAAATAATCATTAAATACTTTTGAACACATAAAAGGAAGGAAATGAGAAAAGAGGTAAAAAAAAACCTATATAAATAGCACGTAGCATTGCTTTGAGATTACTGATGTCAATGCTCAAAATAGACAAGAAACTAGAAAGCTCCTCCCCATCAAGCAGATCAAGTGCAGTTGCCTTGTGTTTTTCAAAAACAGCATCAAGTGCCAATTCATATGAATCATCACGTGATTGTGCTTTTTCAATAAGATCATACATCATATCTGTAACTTTAGACATTGCAGACACAACAACCAGCTTTCTTTCAGAATTGTCTTCTGTAACAATCTTGGCAACATTATAGATTCTTTCAGAAGTTCCCACACATGTGCCACCAAATTTATGGATTGACCAAGTGTCACCTTTGACAACTGAAGGTGTGACAGGGAGTTCGGGTGTTGAAACATCTGATAAATTGATAAAGAAGAAAAAGAAGAAATGAAATAGGCGAAAAGAAAACATATAAACTATGTGAGAAAAAGCTGGATGAAAGGTGGACCTGTTGTCACTGAAGCAGAAACTTTGAAGTTGAAGGACTCTCTTCTTTCCAAATGAGAAGGAAAACCTGCTCTGAATTGCAAGTTACATGCATAACTTTAGAGCTTTAACAGCAGCTAAAGAGGAGATCAAAGGGAAGTGAAAAAGAAAGTGTGTACTGTATAGATTATATAAACACTCAGAAAGAGGTTGAAGAATAGTATATTGATAAGTGCAACAAAATCAGTTGCCCAAAGTATGTCTCAAAGTGGCAAAAAAACTCACATGTAGAAACAACCTTAATTAGCTTAAGATTGTACTCATTTCAAGAACAATGAACACTTGTAAAAAAACTAAGGGATATGATAGGTTGTTTTCAAAAACTTACATGCATAAATTTAACTGAGAAACACCTGTGTAATTGGTATTTTTGCTTACACTTATGCAGTAAGATGTCTCCATGAGTTTCTAGCATCAAACAACAAAGTCATAAGTGAAATACTTACTTGTAAGTCAAAGTGCGTTGAAGGAGAGAGGATGCATTCGATAAGCAAATCCTAGACTTTGTCTCTGAGGTTGCTTCATGTGCTGATAACTGAGAGTAGACTCTAGGTAAATATGATGATGAAATTGGAGTTGAGAATGCCATTCTTTCTCAACAACCAAAACTGTAACAAGAAGATAAGAAGGTGGAGCTGAATCAGTAAGGTATTGTTTGGCAACCATTGTGATTTTAGTTTGGGAAATCTGTAACTTGAAAATGATTTCTGCTTTCTACTGAAATGATCAAGTCTTACCTGTAGTTAGGTGGCAACAGTATGAGGGGAGGATAATTAGGGCAGTGTGATATGATCAAAATTGACAGCAACTAAATCCCAGTTTTTCAAATACCTATCACCCCAAAGTTAGAAACAACAAACAAACAAGATCAATTTACAAAATCGGATCATACATAAGAAAGAGGATGCTAAAATTGTACTACAATAGAAAACGGAGAACACAGAACAGAGAACAAGGTTTTAGTGGAGAAACCAATTTAATAATGCATTAATAACACATATTGCCAACCAGTATGCGACTACAGTAGTCTTACACATCACAAGCTTAAATCCAAATTGAAGATAACAGCGACGTTAGATTGAGGTTGTAGATTACTCAGAATGCACTTACAGCTACCGTTAACACAAGTCCGACCAGATGAAGACGGCGAGGGAACAGCACAAAAAGCCGTTGCTTGATCTTCTCTCACACTTTCTTTTCTATTCTCTATTCTTTCTTTTCTTTTCTCTTTCTAGCTACAATTTCTTCTCTTTTCTATTCTTTATTTTCTTTTCTATTTCTAGCTGCTCGTGGTTTCTAAGTTTTTACATACACATTTAAAAGATTGCATATTGCTTGAATGAACCAAAAATTTAACTAACAATGTGTGTCCAAGAACAAGCTAATCATTTATTTAAAGCAAGTAATTGAGTATAGCAAGCATAATCACATATCAAGAATTGATATACAAATCAGTGAAACTTAATCAGAGGAGCTGAGAGAATGGTCTGCTGGTCCGATGGAGAAGAGAGAAGAGAGAAATTGAGAGAACACTAAACATACCTGATTGATTCCAGTGCAGAGGTGAGAGGAGCTATCAGCGATGATTGAGAGGTACCGAGGTGGATAGGTTTTCCAGCGAACAACGAATGATGGAGCGACTGAGCTAGGGTTAGAAGTGTCAATGCCTCGTGTGTCTTTGTCTCACATAAATAAGAGGGTCACATATGTAATAATCAAGGGACGAGATTATGTTTTGCCAAGTTCATCAAACACCACAACTTTTTATTTACTGAAATGAATAAAAACATTAAACATGTGCTGTGACACGACACTAGATTTGAAATTCTGTATGAGTAAATTGCAGTTTTGCTCCCCTTGGTTTGGTCAAATTTACATTTTTACTCTAAGTTTTGAGTTTTTGACATGGCTTAACGGTTTGGTATCCAAAAGTTGCATTGGTGGTCCCTGAGGTTAACTCCTGAAAGATGTTTCGTTAAGTATGTATAAAATCATGAGATTGACTCATTTATGTTGACATTTATTCATAAAACAGAGAACCTTCTTTTTGTAAATTATTGGAAATAGCAACACAGAGAGGCTTCGGCCTCAATACAACTTTGTCCCTCTATGTATTCGGCATCTCACCACCCGCCTTTACACAACTATGTCTTTCTCACGTCTATCTCTCTCACCTTCGACATCATTAGAAAGAAATTTAGTACAAAGGCCACAACGGCTACTCTTTCTCACCTATGGCAACATCATGAAACTTTGTACTCTCTCTCTCTCATGTAGCTCGGCCACGACACCGCCATTCCTCCGTCATTTGTTGGCTTCTATTTAATTTATAATGTATGGTTTTCATTTTCATTTAGGGTTTGGTTTTTTTAGGGATTTGAAAATGGTGGTCGTGGTGGCGATGGTTGTTGTGGTTGTTTTCTGATGGCAGGTGATTTGTAGGGTGATATGGTGGTGTTAGTATTAGTGATGGTGATGGTTTTTGGCGCCAGGTGGATGGTGGATGGTGGTGTTTAAGGGGTTTGGTGGTGGTTATTAGTGATGACGGTAGGTGATGTGGTGGTGATTGGTGATTGGTGATGGTAGTGGGTGATTGGCGATCATTGTTATATATGTTATACAACACAAATTACATTGCCTTTGTTTATGGTCTGAGTTTCCACATTTGTACAAGAAGGATGTTGATGGTCTAAGTGTTGGATTTAGTGTCTAAGCCCATAACTATAACTGGGATGTACTTGACCCGATTGTAGCATGGCCCTTTTGGGTTGCCTTCA